CCTTCGAGGACATAGCCGTTAAGAGTTGACAGCTAAAAAGTACTTTTAGACCTGGGCAGGAAGGTGCTTTATGGCTACTTTTTTTTTTTTTAATGTAATTTGATTTATTTATTTCCTTAAAAGAAAACATTTTACTAAGGCTTTTTGTTTGTGTGTGTTTATAGTTTGTTTTGTTTTTTGTTTCTTTTCTGCAATAGACATTATTTTTTAGAACAATTTTAGGTTCACAGCAAATTTAATGAGAAAGTATAGAAAATTACTATATTCTCCTTTCCCACACCTCGACATACAGCCTCCTCCACAACTAAACATCCAGCATGATCGTGGTACATTTGTTACAAAAGAAATCTACATTAATACAGTATTTTCACCAAAAGTCTTACTCGACATTTGGATTCACTCTCTGTGTTTTATATTCTATGGGTTTAGATAAATGCATAATGACATGTATCCATCATTCAGAATAGTTTTACTGCCCTAACATACCTCTGTGCTCTGCTTATTCATTCCTTATTTTATCCAAACCCCAGGCAACCACTGTTCTTTTTACTGTCACCATAGTTTTGCTTTTTGCAGAGTGTTATATTGTTGGAAATATAAAGTATGTAGCCTTTAAAAATTTGGCTTCTTTCACTTAGTAATAATGCATTTATATTTCGTCTACATCTCTCCATGACTCCGTAGCTCATTTCTTTTCAGTGCTAAATAATATTCCATTGTCTGGCAGTACAACATTTTATTTATATATTCATGTACTGAAGGATACTGGTTTGCTTTCAAGCTTTGGCAGTTATGAAAAAGCTTCTATAAATCTCTTTGGTTTTTGGTTTCTTCAGGTAGATATCAAAGTGTGTGATAGTTGGATCATATGATAAGGGTAAGTTTAGCTTTGTAAGAAACTGCCAAACTATATTCCAAAGTTTCTGTACTATTTTGCATTCCCACCAGCAAGGAATGACAGTTTCTGTTGCTCCATATTACCGCCAGCATTCAATATTGTCAGTGTTCTGGATTTTGGCTATTTTAGTAGTCAAAATATCTCACAGTTGTTTTAATATGTATTTCCCTGATGACATATGATGGAGTACATCTTTTCATATGCTATTTTCATTTGCATATCTTCTTTGGTGAAATGTTTAGCACTTTGGCCTATTTATTAAATTAGTTGTTCATTTTCTTATTGTTGAGTTGTAATAGTTCTTTGTGTATTTTGGAAAACAGCCCATCAGTTAAGCCTTGGACAAATAATTTCTCCCAGCCTGTGGTTATCTTCACCTTCTCTTGACAGCATCTTTCATAGAGCAGCAGTTTTTTATTTTAAGGCAGTCCCGTTTATCAGTTATTTCTTTCATGGATCTTGCCTTTGGTGTTATATTTTAAAAGTTGTGATCAATGCCCAAGATTGTCTAGAAGTTCTATGTTATTTGCTAGGAGTTTTATAGTTTTGTATTTTAAATGTATGTCAGTGGTCAGTTTTGAGTTAACTTTTGTGAAGAGTGTAAGGTCTGAGTCTAAATTATTATTATTATTATTATTATTTGGCATGTGACTGTCCAGTCATAGTGAGGTGGGTTTTGTTTTGTTCATTTGTTTGTTTTAGAGAGATGACATCTTACTCTGTCATACAGGCTGGGCTCCACAGATTCCCAAATAGCTGGACTATAGGCACAAACTCTGGTGTCCAGCTTAGTACTAAGATTATAAGGTTTGTCGGTTTGGCCTTTTTGTGATTAAAAACTTTATAAATTCTATTAGATTTATTTTAGACATACAATGCAAATCTAACCTTAGATGTAACTATCAAGGCCAAGGCTTGATAGTTATAATATAATATAATTGATAATCAAGAATTATAGGTAGCACAACGTCTATGAAAAGAAAACTGTATATAAAGGCATTTGATATGCATACAAAACTTTCATAAAAGTAAAAAGAAAACACACTGAAAACATTTCCCTATCACATTTTAAATTAGATCTTATTGAATTTGGCTGAATAGTAATTTTACTATCAACTCAGGTAGTATTAGTAATTATTAGACAAATATATACCTAAACCTAAATTTTAAAATACTGTCTCTAAACAGAATGGCATAATTTCTATAATAAAATCCAAGTCATTGCTTTCATAAAATGATGAGAGAAAGGAAGAGAAGGAGGGAAGATAAACATCAAACATGTTCAGCCTCTAATTTTAACAATGTCTGTATCGATCACTGTATACCCACTAAAAACACTACTGCCAAAATATTCTAAATCTTGAGGTTTACTTTAGATGGTAACTATGTATCCTTTCAATGTAAAAAATATTCACTTATCTTAAAAGGAAGTAGGATGGAAAGAGCTTTTAAGCATTATTGTTTGATATTGTGATAGGCAAACAATGTCATTTTTGTGTGTATTCTTAGGATGGAAAGTCAAAAGTTGTGGCATGTGTGTGCATGTGTGCATACATAGGCTTTTTTTAAGGTATGTGTATGATGGGAGGTGAATAGATATTTTTTTTTTAGGATTTTGAAAACTCCATATTTACATCTCTTCCTAAATCAAGCACAACAAGATGGTGTTAAAAGTGGTGAAATACAATAATTAATAAGGAAAATGGAAATCAAATGACAATAAAATTACATCATACACAAAAGAGAGTTAAGTACTTGTGTAGAGGAATTAAACCTATTAAGGTTTTCCTGCATCCATACACACATTATTTCTATAACTTTAAAGAATAAATTTTGGTTTTTTGTCCAGGGTGTATTATTAAAATAAGTACATTCCCTCTTACATGTTCTTCTCAACCTCAGATCCATTTTCCAATCCCCCACTGATCCCATGTCAGCATCTTCTGTTTTTGACTAGACAAATAATACACAGATTTATTTCTACAGGAAAAACCTCTGGTAAAATCATAGAATGCCTACTTGAATGATACTCAAAAGGTAACTGCATGCTTTCCGCTGGCCAGAAATAACTCACAGAAAATGAATTCACAGAGCGGTCAATGGAATACTGTAACCTTCTTAGGGGAGCCACTGTACTATGAGAAAAACTTGAAGCAGTGAAGCAGCCTTTATATATACATAAGTTCTATATATATACATAATACAGTGTGTGTATGCACATATACACACATACATGCATACATATGTTTGTACAGACACATTGTATTATGTATGCTAGAAATTATGGTAAGTTAGACTATTGATCTGTGACAGATTTCCACTTGAAGCCATAGAGTGTTGGCTTAATACTCCTTTCACTTACATTGTATTTTTATGATAATTTATTTAGAATAATTTTTATTTATTACTGTTGTAAGACTAGTAGTAGACTGGACTGCAGTAATTCTAAGAAAAGAATAGACTGATGTTACTTCTAAGATGTACATCTACAGATTGAAAGATTGGTACTGTGAGATTTATTTTTTTGTTTTGTTTGTTTTCTTTTTGTTTTGAAACGAAGTCTCTCTCAGTCACTCAGGCCAGAGTGCAGTGGCGCAATCTCGGTTCACTGCAACCTCTGCCTCCTAGATTTAAGCAATTCTCCTGCCTTAACCTCCCAGAGTAGCTGGGATTACAGGCATGCTCCGCCACACCCGGCTAATTTTTCTTTTTTAGTAGACAAAGGGTTTCGCCATGTTGGTCAAGCTAGTCTCGAACTCCTGGCCGCCTCAAGCTATCCACCCACCTTGGCCTCCCAAAGTGCTAGGATTGCAGTCATGAGCCACCATACCTGGCCCAAGATTTTTATTTCTTAAACAGATTCCAGAATTTATTTGAGACACACACACACACACACACACACACACACACACACACACACACTCTTTCAGTGCATCAATAGGATTCTGTATTACTGGGATTAACCAGAAGAATTCATTTAGCAAAATTCTTTCACTGAAGTCAGTTTAGAACTGGGGGCAGTGTTAGAGCTAAGAGTATGGAAAAGTAAAGTTGGAAATAAAATTTTTAGAAATAAAACTCAAATTTATCACATGGGAGAAATCATGAATTTTTCAAGTTAACAAGGTTTGGCTCTTGTTATATATATCATGGTTTGTTCAATTTGCATATCCATTGTTTTACGTTGACATGCCGTGTTACACGTTTTGTGTTATTCTTGGAAGCTGGCACCCTTCTGAAATTTTCTAATGCGACTGAAAACAAACAAAAAAGGTAATTATTTGAAGGAAATTTATGCTAAAAGTGGAGATGCATTGTCAGTCTGCATCAATGTAATTTAAATATGTCTCTTAAACCTAAATGTCACTAAGAATTACTAGTTGCTTTTTTTTTCAGCCTAAGAATTTGGACAATCTTCCCCCCTTCCAAAATGATATTTCAGGGGATTTCCAGACCTTTTCCCCCCATTACATTTCATTGGTTTCTATCTCATTACTTCAAAATCTGATGTTTTCTAGAATATCTACATACTTACACACTCTCTCTCTCTCTCCCCCCAACATTTATGCTACATTCCCTTTATCCCTAGCCATATGTTTTTAGGTCATCTAAATTTTGGGTTGGTCACTTTTCTCAATTCATCTAATTTCTGGGATGGTAACATTTCTTACTTCATTTTATTTCTGGTTCAGGGCAGGATTTACTGTGTCTGGACAGATAGTGAGAAAGGGCATGACAAAGGTGAAGAGAGCACACTCCTGCCTCACACCTCCCCTGAGAATACATATCTCAGTCTATCATTCTTCCTTCTGAGTGATGCTCCAAGAGATAAAGAAAATGATCAGAGACTTGCTGCTGGCTGAGTGCGTCTGAGTATATAGGACTCCTCACAGGAAATGAACTGCAAGTTTCTGCATGTCTCATAATTATGATTTCTGTGTGCTTTTATGTCTGTAGATTATCAAAGGAGAAGGCAAAGGGGGAATAGGGGAAAAAGCAGAGAAAGATAAAAGAAGAGCCCTCTTCACAGCTTTTCTTTCTATTTGTTAACAGCTATGAAGATTCCTTAAAACTTGAGTGGGTTTCTGCGTTCTCCCTTTAGGAAAAGAAGAGCTGGAAGGAAGCTGTTGCTTCATTCCGTTCATGGAAGGAGAGAGAAAATATCAGAGTTTGATGGGAGCAGGCACAGCCAGCAGAAGGTAATTATGCAGCCAAATTCAGACTCTGGAGAAACACACCAATGGTGATAGGTGATTCCAGGACAGAGAAGTATGCTCCTAATAGAAGCTTTTTTTCAAACTGCATTTTTTTTCCTGGCCACCCAGACCACTTATCCAGACATGGAACTCCTATTGTATGAGCTTAGAGCTCATACAATACCAAGTACTGCAACCAGGGGGAGTTTTCTCAGTCCAAGTTATGGCTGAAGTGTGACGGTGTCATCTGAATTTGGGAATTTGTCTGAATTTATCTTACATTTAATAATATTTTGGCAAGGCTAAACCAGAGTTATGCTTTATTCACAAATCATAGCTTAAACAGAACGTTGTGGGTCAGGTCAGAAATACAATCACCACCAACATTGGTTTTGTTTGCTCAACAAGTATTTATTAAGCACTGTGAGGATGTATTCCAATTTTCAAGCAAATAACAGAAAGATATGGGTTTTAAAAATTAGTGATTATCTGAATATGAGTGGCATTAAAATGTGTATGTTACAATTATTATTTTTCAAGATATATAAAAGCCTAATATTCTCTTCCAGAAGATGGTAAAGAATGAATTTCAATTATTATAATCACCACTATTGATTTAATATGACTTCTTCAATTGGATGTACTATCTTCTGCCATAAATATAATAAATAGAAAATTATATAATCTGAAGAGTATTTTTTCTCCTTCAATTTCTGTAACATTTATTTTAAATAAATACAATACCTTCTTAACTTGAAGAAAGCAAACCTGCCTTTGAAAAACACTATAACAAAATTTACTTCTGAGTCCGTCTTCATGTGCTAAGAAATATTGTTACCATTTTATTGTAATGTTATTATATATAAAGCAAAGTTTCACATCTATAATTATTATAACATGTAATTTAAATATCTCTATGTTGTCACAGAAATATAACAGTATAATAATGACCATTTGTAGACACCTATTTTAATTTAAATGACTCATAAAATTTGAGTTTATTTTAAGAAAAACAGGAATGGATTGAGGCAAAATAATATTGATAGAGTTGAAGAAATACAAGTAACCAGTTAGAAGCACTAAGCTGAATTTCTGACTTCTTATCAAATTCTAATTATTTGTTTTGATTTTAAATTTATAATATTTTAATATACAATATTTTAGTTTTAGAAAGTTTCGCTCAAAGATATTTGAGCATTTTCCATTACCCCTTAACAATGTAACAATTATATTTTTAATATTATGCTTGATACAGTGAACCGCAAAAAAAATTTTCTTCAACTACTTTGAACATAAAGACTCTTATTTTAACCAAAAAATATTCCAAACAGTAAGCCTTCTTTTAGAAACACAAATGACAGTAAACAGACTGAATCGAGAGTTTGTAAAATGCTTATTATTATTATTGAAGGAGAAAAGCTCATTCAGGATTGTGGTATTGAGGATGATATAAACAAGGATGTTTTCAACATGCATGATTTACAATTGCTCTTATACCATGATGACAATCTTCCAACAGTCTTGAAATCATTTTGATTATCTCCCCTCCCCAAGAAAATAAAAAATGCTGTTACAATAGAAAAAGAAGAAAGGGAAACATAATGGGTGACTGAAAGTCATTGACTTGATTTAAAATCCGGTCAAAAGATATGGCTCTCTGCAAACAAAGAGGCACAGACTGTCTCATTCTTTCCCACAGTTGTGTTCTGATGCAAGAGGATATATATTTGGGTTCCCAAATTCTTGCCTCCCTAAGGGAATTTAACTTCTATACAATTCTCAGCAATAAATATGAACCACCATTTCACACTGTAAAACATTTCTGTCAACATTGTAGATGCTAAAGATAATATATTTGACTAAGCACATATCCAGATAATACAATGTATTTTGAGTGATTGGGAAATGATCTGTGTAGGTAAAGAGAATATTCTAATGATATATTTAATTTAGACAATAGAATTTTTAAAATGTTTCTACCTTTTCTCTTTTCATAATTTTAGCAAAGAAAAAATATTTAGAGTGCTTCCATAATTGAACTTTAAAAGTCACAATGTTCAGCTATCCATTTTTGTTTTATAATGTTATAGAATTATGCATGCCCTGCATTAAATATCATGTGAGCTTTAGAAAGAAAAGAGAAGACATAGATATTACTTCAAGAATATCCCTTACTTGCTTTTAACATAAAATGTCAATCTAAAAACTAAACATTTTAGATGGCCTTTATGGAAATTTTCAACTATAACCATCAGAAAATGGGCATGAGGAATGCTGTCAATTTTTTTAATCCATTGAACCAAATCATTTTACAAAAGTTTGCATTTGTACATTTTTAAAACTTTTGTAGTTTAAATTTAGAATATAAACCAGGAGGGCATAACTCCTCCAGGTAATTAACTTTTAAATTTAACAGATCTAGGAACAAATATCTAAGAAATGTTTTATTGTTGTTGTTCTTATTCAAGAAATGATCCATAATATGTAGATGTGGAAAATCCCTATTTTTCCAGTGGTCAGATGTTTTGAACTTGTGTTGACTGAACCATAAAAATGGCTGACTCCACCACTTACAACACTAAGGAAATTGAACCTGAAAGATACATTTCCTTGTTTTGTTCCTGTGTTTTTTTACTTCTGAATTACTTGATTTTCCTAGGAACTTCAGAATCTCTTTTATTATGTTTTGAAATTATTCATTAACCTCTCAAGCAAGTGAACAAAATAGATTTCACCATTTAAGGTGAGAAAAAGAAATGCTATGTACACAATTCATTATCATTTTTTAGCACTGCATGCTTTTAAATCAAGGTTTACATATTCTGGAACGGAAACATTCCACTAGAAAAGAATAAATGTATAGCTACAGACACAAAGGGCCTTGTTCCCTAAAGAGCTTCTGCTTCCAAGATCTTTCTGATTTTATCACAAAGACCTAAATGTGGGGAAAACTCAAAAACAAACAAACAAACAAACAAAAAAAAACTTAACAAAAGAATAATGGGAAAATACGCTTAAGTGTTGGAGAAATAAGAGTCTGTCAGAAACAGAAATAGACATTTTAATTATCTAGAACAACAAACAACGAAAAGTACTTTACAAAATGTAATGACCTTTCTGAGAATTTTCTAGAAAATTAATTTTTGGTATGTTTTCTATCTAAGAACATACTCCACCAGACTGCAAATATGAAACTGACTTTTGAAATTCTGAGAAAAGAGGGAGGAATGTTTTCATCTGTAACCATGAATCACATCCTGACAGCACCATCTACCAGTCACAGTTCAAACTGTAAGGGAAAATCTAGTTCTAAAAGCTTCTGATTGTAAATAACCAAAACAATTTCTGAAACAAGATATAATTGTGTCTAATATATTAGACATTTTATTTTTCATTTTATTTTTAATTCATCATTTTATACTTTTTCTATGTCCTCATAAATTATGTAGGGGATTTCTAGTTAACCAAAAGAATATAATCCAACATCATTTTTAGATCTATGTGGCATAGAAAAATATAGCTTCCTAAGTTCATTTTATTTTCAAAGTTTGGTTTATATTCATAGCTACAAATATGTTCTTGAGGAAAATATAGTGCCCATAGTTTGTCTATGTCCTTTTAACTGTGTTGGTGTCTCATGCAGTGGATAATTTTATGACTTACCGCCTTACTGACATTCTCATGGTATCCTAAGGTCCAGAAAAATTCTATCTTTTATCCTAGCTCTGATTTGAGCTTGAAATGTAAAAGCCTAGAAGGTTAGTCTTTATTTTTCTTTTGCAGAAATGGAAATGATTTAAATGACACATTACTAAATCATTAAAGCATTATCACAAGTTGTTTTGGTGTAATGATTCGGTTTGGAGCCTGCGGAATGGAAAGCACACTATTCTGTTTTGCCTTGCAGCCCTACTTTAGTTAAAAGACATTAAAGTCTCTCATGAGTATGTGGTATAAACTTCTCTGTCCAAAGCCAACAGTCAGTTGGCTCCACACTCACTCATTTCCTTCTCTTCTCTTCTTCCTCTTCCTCCTCCTCCTTCTTTTCTGACAGAAGCAGAGAAATTATGTAAGCATTTTGAAATAACTGTCCTTTTGGGGCTGAAGATAACTATCACTCAATTAGAAGAGCAGGAGAGACCATGTAAACTTGAGAACCAGTGCAAACTGTGAGGCTGAGGAGGAAGCATGTTTCTAGAAGCACAAATGCTTCTATGAGTAACTCAATTGGCTGTGGCATTTGGATCTACTCAAAGGATTAAAAAAAAAATTGTTTATAGACCAGTCTTGGTGGCTCACGCCTGTAACTCCAACACTTTGGGAGGCTGATGTAGGTGGATCATGAGGTCAGGAGTTCAAGACCAGCCTGGCCAAGATGGTGAAACTCCATCTCTACTAAAAATACAAAAATTAGCTGGGTATGGTGGCAGGCACCTGTAATCCCAGCTGCTGGGGAGACTGAGGCAGTGAACTGCTTGAACCCAGGAGACAGAAGTTGCAGTGAACCAGTTGTGCCACTGCATTCCAGCTTAGGCAAAAGAGCAAAACTCGGTCTCAAAAAAAAAAAAATTGTTTATAAGCATAAATAATGAAAACATGTAAACACTATTTATGTGCCTCAAGGTATTTTTTTAACCTGTAACCTCCATTATAGATTACAAATGAAACAAATAAAAATAATATTTGTTAAATCATAAAGCTCTGTTTGGTCAATTTCTTCTTTTACAATTTTAGGAAGTATTTTAAAGAACCACAAATAGGCTAAGCGCGGTGGCTCACACCTGTAATCCCAGCACTTTGGGAGGCTAAAGTGTGTGGATCACGAGATCAGAAGATCTAGACCATTCTGGCCAACACTGTGAAACTTCATCTCTACTAAAGTACAAAAATTAGCTGAGCTTGGTGTCACGCACCTGTAATCCCAGCTACTCAGGAGGCTGAGCAGGAGAATTGCTTGAACCTGGGAGGCGGAGACTGCAGTGAGCTGAGATCGACCCACTGCACTGCAGCATGGGCAACAGGGCAAGACTCCATCTCACATCACAGATAATATTCCTCTTTTTTTTTTCTTTTAGGGAGAAAGAATATTTAGTTTGTACTTGTTTGGGCATCAGCAACAAAAATGCCTTTTTCTTTTTTGGAAAGAAAATTTGTATACCCTTAGTTGACTTCACACACACAAAAAAATCTGGTACACAAATGTAGGCAATTTAAACTAGTCACTTGGGTGAAAATCTCTCTGTCTTCATCTCATTCAAAATATTACCTAAATGTAATCTGAACCATTTAGAGTAGCTCTACTTAAATCCTGTTATGTTTTCAGCAGTAGAGACTGATAACTTGATAGTTCCCAAGGGTTTGATGCTTACAGTTTAAGTACGAAGTTGACATTACATGCCATTTTCTGAAAATCCCCAAGGCTATATTAGAGATGAGATAAGTAAAGATGCATACAACTGTGTAGAAATCTGTGGGTATCTTCGAATATAGCACTCTAAGTGAATATCCCTATAGATTTAGTCATTCTCACATTAATATAATCTTGTTACTGGTGGTTAATGAAAGACAATGAAAACTTGGACTCAAAGTTTTAAATACTTACATATTTCTTTGGAAGTAGAATTACTATGAAAATAGCATTTATTATACATTAAAAACACTTCAAAGGTATTAATTTTTAGAGGTTATGAGTTTATTTTTTCACTCCTTCTTGTTCTCTAACACAGAATTAGAATAGCATACCCAGAAAGGCTCTTATTTAGGCCTTCATAATTTCTCCTCTGGGCTATTACTTTACTCCCTAACTTAATCCCTAACTTCAGTTTCACCATTCTTCTTCCTCTGCACAATTATCAAACTGATTTTTCTAATCTTTTTATCCTATCATCAGTGCATAAAAATACACACAGACCTTCAACAACGTTCCCTTATGATAGCACTTCATGCCTCTATTTCTCCATCTCAAACCTGAAATCCAGCCACACTGGATTCATAACAGTTCTTTTGCACACTCTTCCTGTTCCCCACTCCTACCCACCAATCTCATAAGTTTAGGACATACTCACTGCGGTTTTAATACCTATTAAATAAAACTCCACAGAGAAATCTTTCCTGACCTCCTGAATCCTTCTTTTTAACTCCCCACATTTCCAACCTACATTGTACTGTAATCCCGTACTTGCAATTCAATAGACTGTCAGACATTTATGGGCAGAAAGCATGTGTGATCCATTTAGAAGGCTAGCACTGAAGGCCTGATAAGAGACAGTTCTCAATATCAGTTCATTGAATAAATAAAGGGGTGTCTGAATACACAGATCAACTCAGTAACTTTAGAAACAAAGAAACTGAAAGGTAGTTTAATTAAAAGGCTTGTCCACTTTTTGAGGGAATGGCACCATGACACCAGGTGACAACTATCATTCGAGGCTCCTTCCCTTACAGCTCAATAACAGTTCCTGAAAAATGTCAGTCTCAATAGCATTAATTTAGGACTAAATCTTAGCTATGTACAATGTCCCAGTAAGAATAATATTTCATGTTTGTCCTTTGTGTTTAAACAAAGTGTGTGATCAATTTGAAGTTTGTGTCCTCTGCCCCATGCCTGAAATGGAGAGTACAGCTTCAGAAACTATGAGTGGCAGCTCTGCTAATGCAGCAAGGTGCTTGCACACTTAGCTCTAGCTCTCTTTTCCATGCTTTCTTCAATCCTGACTTCCTCCAGTTGTGGTTTTTGTTTTTTTTTTTCCTTTTTCATTTTTCTTTTTTAAGTTTGGAGAAGCATAGCCAACTGCCTGGAATCTGCTTCCCATGTGTTCTTAATAACTATTATTTCCCCAAGGACTAGCCTATGCTTCTCAAACCTGGCTACAGATTAGAATCTCCAAGGTAACTTTTGGGGAAAAAAAAATGTGTGGACCCACAACCAATCATTCTGCTTAAATTGGTTGGGGCCAGATCTTGGGCAACAGTAGGCTATAAAAACTCTCATCTGATTCTAATGTATGGCTAGACCTGGCCATCTCCACTCTTGAGTTTTTCAGGAGAAATAATGAAATGGCCTGGCCTATTTAATTTGTATACCACTTCTGTCCACAGCTTCCAGGGCAGGGAATGCTGCATGCTCGATGTATACATTCTATTCAAATGCGGAATGAATGAAGAAAAGATTGTTCTTTCTCCTTGTATTTTAGTTTGGATATGTGGCTGCTCAAAGACTCCTATAAGGACCAATAAAAAGAGATACCTTTTTATTGGTATTCCTTTTTATTGGTCCTTATAGGAGTCGGATCCTTTACTGTCAATGGATTCTTTACTGTCACTGTCTGACACTGTCTTGGAAAAATTGTACTGAAGCCCTATTCAAACTTGACTTTGGAAAGCCCCTTCCACCCTCAGGAGGGTGAGGCATGTGGTGACAAAAGTTGATTACAAGACAAAGAACCATTTTCCCCAATTTCTCTTTAATTCTGAGTATTTTCCTATCAAATTCCCATTCCTCTACACTCAGTCTTCCCTTGCATTGAATACGTGATTTGAATAGGTACTAGATCAGTGTTCTTATAATTTCTAATTACATTGTTAAGCTGTTGGTATTAACACAGTTTATTGGTTGTCCAGTGACAAATCTGATTATTTTCCAATGATTCATACTAATAATGCCAGAGATATTCCAAGGCTTTCAGAGATATTGACATCTTAAGGTTATATATTCTAAGGCCTTTGGCCAATTTCATCTATGTTTAAGTGGATAATTAAACAGGGCAATCTGGTTCTAATGTGTATTCTAATATATAAAATATATTGACTATTTGGCTTAATGAGCATGCCTTGGAATGAACAGCAGAGAGAGAAAGGAGACCAGCTACCTGTCTACTTTCTAGTTCTTGGGTTATGAGCTATGCTCTCCTTCACTCAGTTGTTGACATTTCCTAGTGTTCATCTGATACATTCATTTTTTTCTCAGCTAATTTATGTTCATTAAAATAACAGTATCCTTAATGAGGAAGAATAATAAAGTGTTCCATAACATACACATTTAGATTAGTTTTCACTTTAAATTTCTTTTGTTAAAAGTGATTCAAAGATACCATTTAGCATTGGATTGACAAATTTCCAAGGGAGGCTTTCCACCTAGAAGAACAGACTGTGGAAAGACCTACAGGCTTATGTGATAGAGGAAAAACAAAGAACTCAAAAGATGAGGAAAGAACTTGAAAGTCAAATTCTGTGTTATTTCATAACAGTAAGTGATTTCTTCTTATATAATTTACACTGTAACATTCTTTAAATGGACAAAAATATTTTGTATCTTTGTAAAAGGCACTATGTGTACACTGGTAAGAAATGTGTTAAAAAAGAAAGAAAAATGCTAACATGCCTAGGAATGATGATAATGATTGTAACTATTATGTGCCAGACACTCTGCCAACATAACAAAAATAACAGCAGTAAACTTTACATGAATAACATTGAATTCTAACAACAGTTTTATGAATTTAGAAATGTTATGTCTACGTTATGAACAAGGAAACCTAGACTTAGAGCAGTGAAAGCACGGTTCAAAGTCATACAGCTGTAATATGGTGGATTCAAATTGCAAAATCAACTGAGTATTGTTTTAGCGTCCGTGATCTTAAGCACTCTGCTTTAACATACTTAGAGGAAAACTTTCCTCAATTTCTGGAGATGAAGAAATGGAAAATTATCCAAGCTAGTGGCAATGCAAACCATCTGAGAAAGGAGTGTCTGGGAGTGTGGCAGTCTGAGACACATCATTTCATCCCAGCTGGTGCTGTTGGGAAGAGTCAGGACTTTGTAAGAAAAATTTAATTTGAAAGAGATTATCTTAACACTTCTGCGGAAGGTTGACCAAAAAAAGGAAGCTATATCAGAAGACTATTTTAGTAATTAAAATGCAATGAAAATGTCCAGTTTGGTGTTATAATTATCAAGGTTCACAGAAGTTGGTAAAGGAGAAAAATTGTGACAGATAATTTTAAATTTTGAGTCTGGTGGACTGAAAAATTAATGATGCCACTGTGGGCAAAAGTAAAATCATAAAGTGTCCATTTTGTGATGAGGGGAAAAAAATATTTCATTGGTGGTATAATCAAGCTGCAAGCCAAGATGTGAAATAGTGCTTTTCTTATTCAAGTGAATTATCTTCCTGCTCTGTTCTAGTCCAGCTTTCTGAGTGTGCAGCTCAGCATCTCAACTTCAAATTATTTTTTTAGCTCGTCTTATTGTGGTCATTGTCTTGTTCTTTGGGACTGTGTCTTCTCATCTCATAT